AGAGAAGCCCTTTTCTCTCTCTGTATGGTGTAATGTCTAGATATGAAAACAGGAATTGTTGCAGCCATCTGTGAGGGGAATCAGAATCAGGGCAAATAGCCGGCATGCAGAAGATGACAAATTACAAAGACAGAAAGACCGTGGACGTTGATGACCACACCAAACCAGGGAAATAATCAACCTTGGAGCCTACATGACCTTCCTTGTTATGTGAGAAAAAGATCTGCATGACAGCTCAAGTTTGCAAGAGGTGGGGTTTTCTGTTTTGTGTAGTAGAAATCACCTTAGCTAGCATATCCAGTCTTATCAACTAAAACACATTACTGAAAAATCACAAGCTATCAATTTTTCACTTAAAGAATATTTTTAGTTTATGTTCCCTCTGTTTATTTAAAACTTGCATGTTGTTTCTTATTTATTTATTTATTTAAAAAAAATTTTTTAATGTTTTTATTTATTTCTAGGAGAGAGAGAGAGAGAGATACAGCGTGAGGAGGGGAGGGTCAGAGAGAGAGAGGGAGTCACAGACTGAAACAGGCTCCAGGCTCTGAGCTGGCAGTCAGCACAGAGCCCGAAGCGGGGCTCGAACCCATGAACTGCGAGATCATGACCTAAGCGAAAGTCAGACGCTTAACCAACTAAGCCACCCAGGCGCCCCTTTATTTAAAAAATTTTTAATGTTTATTTATTTTTGAGAGAGAGAGGCATAGTGCAAGTGGGGAAGGGGCAGAGAGAGAGGGAGACACAGAATCCAAAGCAGGCACCAGGCTCCGAGCTGTCAGCAATGGGTGGGGCTCAAACTCATGAACCGTGACATCATGACCTTAGCCGAAGTCGGATGCTTAACCAACTGAGCCACCCAGGTGCCCGTGCATGTTGCTTTTTATTTATTTATTTTTAAAAAATTTTTAAATGTTTTATTTATTTTTGAGAGAGAGAGACAGCGTGAGCAGGGGAGGGTCAGAGAGAGAGGGAGACACAGAATCCGAAACAGGCTCCAAGCTCTGAGCTAGCTGTCAGCACAGAGCCCGATGCTGGGCTCAAACCCAGGAGCCATGAGATCATGACCTGAGTCGAAGTCGAAGCTTAACCAACTGAGCCACCCAGGGGCCCCTGCATGTTGCTTTTTAAATTTATGAATTCAATATATGAATTCAGTGTCATTGTAAAGATACAATCTATACACACCTGATTAATATAAAAAGTCAAACTTTTCCTCCAGCCTTCTCTTTCCCCCAAGCTAACCCAATACCCTTGCTGGAAAATAACCATTATTGTCAATTTGTTGGGCATCCTTCTGGATCTTTTCCTTATGAATGAAAGGGACATATATCAATAGATGTTAAAAACATAACTTATTTGAACAGTTAGAGGCACAGATGAAGGAATATTTAAATTTTGCAAGGGCTTTTTAAAAAATAGAACTTTTGGGGCGCCTGGGTGGCTCAGTCGGTTAAGCATCCGACTTTGACTCAGGTCATGATCTCACGGTTCCTGGGTTCGAGCCCAGCGTCGGGCTCTGTGCTGACAGCTAGCTCAGAGCTTAGAGCCAGCTTCCGATTCTGTGTCTCCCTCTCTCTCTGACCCTCCCCTGCTCATGCTGTCTCTCTCTCTCTCTCTGAAATAAGTAAAATATATTTAAAAAAATAGAACTTTTGCCATAGGTGTATTGAAATTATTCTAAATGTTTTTCCTTTTATGGGAAAAACATATTGAGATACACATTATATATTATATCTCACAATCCAGTAAAGAGTCCTGCAATAGTTTTCTGGCAAGCTTTAAAAAAAGATTAAAAAGTATATTTAAAAATAAATACACTGATGTCATTGAATGCTGGTCAATGGTAGTTATAAAGTACACACTGTGGACGACACAATGCCAATCTCAGCCAGTCCTGTTAGAATTACACTCTTCCGCCTGTCGCAATGCTTGCTTTCTTGCCCCCAGCACACTTTTCTTCAACCCATTAAATCTAGGGCTGTGACTTTAAGTGAAGGGGCTATTAAAAAAACGTGTTTAACCACGTGGGATAACATGACTGCATGAGTCATAGCTACCTGGATAAAAAACTTAAAATCAATATCAGGGGCGCCTGGGTGGCTCAGTCGGTGGAGCGTCCAACTTTGAGTCAGCTCATGATCTCACGGTGCGTGCGTTCGAGCCCCACATCGGGCTCTGTGCTGACAGTTCACAGCCTGCAGCCTGCTTCGAATTCTGTGTCTCCCTCTCTGCCCCTCCCCCACTCATGCTTTGTCTGTTTGTCTCTCTCTTGAAAATCAATAAACATTAAAAATTTTTAAGAAATAAAAATAAAATCAATATTAAAAGGAAAGTTCATACTTTCCTCCCAAACTCCTAACATCCCATTCCCTGAATTAATTAACATTAATAATCATTTTCTTTATCTTCTTTTATGCTGGTGTGTGCATGCATGCATGCATGTATAGAATGAAGTCACATGTTACTCTTAAAATTAGAATACAGCTTTGAATCTGTAAATTTATCTGTAATAAAGCCCCAAAATAACAGTGGCTCCCACAAGAGAGAAGTTTGTTTCTTGTTCATGAAACAGTCTAGTGATAAGCAGTCGAAGAGGTATGGACTTCCCACCGTGTCAGTGACACAGGCTCCTCCTGGCTTGTGCTGATATCCCCAGGTATCCTCCTCATCGACAAGATTACCACCATTTCTTCTTCACTCCAACCCAAGGAGGGAGTGAAAGTCCAGGGGAAAGCACAACCAGGATACATGCATACAACCGCTCTCGACCCACTGGCCACAGTTTAATCACCAACCACATTTTGCTGCAGGGGAGGCTGGCGAGAAGCAGGCAGGGGTGGAGGGGTCCAGACAACTCCCGGCTGCCTCCCAAGGGCTCAGTCTCGGGCATCCCGAGCATTGGTTTGTTGCTGCTATTCTTGTCAGGTCATCTTACAATTGAAGGGTGAACCCAAGGACTGTGACTTCTCTGGTTAGAGAATGACACAAAAAGGGAAGAAAAAGTAAAGTGAAAGATTGATTTAACTAAAATTTAAGACTTCAGAATGGTAAAAAAAAAAATACTGTATGCAAGTTAAAGGGCACATGGCGTGCGGTGAAAATGATTTGCGACATGTGTGATAGGCAAGTGTTTAACAATCTTACACATTAACAACTGTTATAAATCTGTAAAAAGTAAGTGCTCCAATTAAAAAATGGGCAAAGGATGCCAGTGGCAATTCTGAAAAAGAGAAATACAACAAGCAAATAAATAATGAAAAATAAACATAAGCACACTGTATGATTTTTTAAATCCAAATTAAACAACATGGACTATGTTATTTAACACATAGACAGGGACTATTTGTGTTGAAACTTTATATGTGTTGTGGGTTCTTGCCTGTGAGGAAGAAGAGAGGCTTTTTGGGCATTCTCATGGTCTGTTGCTTGGAATAGAATTGAAATAAATCTTTGGGAGGGCCATTTGACAATATGAATCAAAGCCCTTGAAAAAGTATATACCTTGACTCAGACATTCTGCAGTAGAAACATGTCCTAAAGGAGAAGAATGTTCTCTGATATTTAGAAAACTCAACACAGAGTTGTTTACAAAACATAGAAAACCCAGAAACAGTGTAAATGCCTCACAAAAGGGAATTAGGAAAGTAATTTAATGTCTGTCCATATAATGGGCTTCTCTGAAGCAATAAACAGTTTTGTAAAAGTATATTTATGTTAAAAAAAGGAGGGAGGGATGGCTATAATGTATTTTTAAGCAGAAAGCTATAAACAGTGTGTACAACATGGCCCCATTTTAATAAAAATATCTGCATGTGTCACTTAGGATGCAACTTACAAGTAACAGAAAACTCACTTTAAACTCCCTTCAGCTAGCAAATTTATTCGTTCATATAAGTAGACACTCCAGAAGTAAGATAGATTTTAGTGTTAGCTTAATTTAGCAGCTCAGAAACCTCCTGAAAAACCCAGGTTCTTTTTATCTCTCTCTCTCTCTCTTTTTTTTTTTTTTTTTTTGCCTTCTGTAGTGTCTTATTGGGCTGAAGATTGGTTTGGGTCATGGAGGCAAGCTGGCCTCCAATGGCTTCCAGTTGTCCAAATGCAGAGAAGTGAGTGTCTTGCCCCAGGTCTCTAGTGGGAGCCTAGGCTTTCCCCTGATTGGACCATCTTGATCACGTGGCTCTCCTGGTGGTCAGAGGAATGCTTTGTTGATTGGCTTAGGTCTGGATTGGATGCTGGTCCCTAAAACAAACACCGTTGGCAAGAGCATAAGATTATTGTAGTTTAGTTTAGCCAGATTAGGCTCTATAATGGAGATAGACATGGGGTAAGTCCCCACAAATCTGCATGGAGATTCTACAATGGTGTGAAGTGGAATGGATGTTGAAAAGCTCATCATCACCACAGAGAACAGCTTGGAAGGATGTACACCAACAGTAGTTGTCTTCAAGGGGAATTATGGGGATTTTTTCATTTTTCTTATTTATGCCTATCTGTTATTTTACATTTTTTCCCCTAATTTTACATCTTTGACAACAAACATATTACTTGAAAAAGTTTAAAAAGAAATGAAGGCTATAAATATGAGAAAAAGTCAGTGTATAACACTTGCTATGTAATTAACAGATTGAGAGACTTAAAGCAGACATGTTGGCAAACAGGAAATCTGAATTTTCAGAATGGCACCAACTGTGCCTTGGAGAAGCTCCTGACTGCCTCTCTCTTGCCTCTGTTATGAAATTGTGGTCATTTCTACAGCTGTACCATGAGATTTTTGAAGGCTTGTCTGGCTCAAAACCGCTGGTTCCTGTGGCTTGAATTTTTCCCTTATGGTGGGGTGAGGAAGCTCTCCCTAGAGACATTTTCACTTTTCAGCTTGCAACACCATGAAGCGGAAGCCAACCCCAGAAGGAGTGCAGAAGGGGAAGCGCTGGCCTCAGGTTCCTCCACTTCTCTCTTGGACAGAAGGAGCAGAGTGTTCTTTCAAGAAGTAGCTCCCACAAAAAGTCCCCGCCTTCTCTGAGGTCCTGTGACTCTCTACACGGGGATCACAGTGTGACACTCACTGGATGCAGCCACCATGGAAGGGGCCTAGGTCCGAAGGCTCAGGCACCTGGGAGAATGTGAAGTGAGGCACTTCCCTTGATTCACTTCTGTTAGATGCTGGGTATTGGGGATTCTTCCTAGAGTTCATGGAGAAACTCCTGCTATTTTTCCACTTACTATTTCCTGGAAAAGAGAACTCATTTTTCCACTGACAGAAAAGACCTCCACTGGTAACGTAAGGTAAGGAGTTCTCATGTCTGGGCCTCCCGTTTCTCACTTTTATTTCTGCTTGGCATTGATTTTCAGCTCTGCATTTTCGGAAGCTTGATTTTATCTGCACGTGCCCTTCTGGAATTATCCCACTGTGATGGTAAGCAATAAACTGGCATGGTTTGGTTCCATGATGAGAACAAAGCCAAAGGGATGAAATGCTCCAGTTTAAGTGGTCAAGGCACCCTGGTCTCAGTAGGAAAATACCTGTGGGCAAAGAAATGCGGCCTGAGGTGGCTATTGGATGGTCTTAAGGAGCCATTCTGTGTTTCTTTAGTAATGTTATCTAACCTCCAGCAGAATGTAAACTTGACTCGAGGAAGAACCTTGTTTGTCTTCTTCAAATTTACATCGGCCTTATCTTGAACAGTTGAAGATACTCAACTGGCTGTTGAGTACTAGGAGGCTGGCTAGCTGTATGGATGAATGTTTCTTATTTTTTAGACTCACTGTTCCATGGGAAGTTTTCCTTGACTCTTTCAGGAAGATTGGAGACCCTCCTCTGGTTTCCGTGCCACTTGGAATGAAAGCACTTAAATCATAGAATCTAAACTATTTGCTTACTCATCTATCTTCCCTAAAAGACTGTGAGCTCCACAAACTCAAGGATCCTGCCTTGTTTTTCCATTTAACTAACTAAACATGCTTCAGGACACTCTAGCACATAGTAGAATAAAATATTAACACTGTGGCAACCTCATGAGTACCTCTCAGCTTGTGAGATATGCTTATTAAGTAGATCAGGATATTGCACTACTCGGGCCCCTTTGCGTTTTCAGTGGTGATGCATTATTAACTTCTTACGCTTGCTTTTCATTGCTTCTAAGGGAACAAGTATCCTTCTATTTTCAGTTGCTATTTCAATACCTTTCTGTTGAACCTACAAACACACTGAATGGCTTCCATAGATTACATTTCCAGGACCAAATGAGTCTCCTCTTGATGTTGTACAAAAAGGCACCTTAACCTCACAAGCAAATCATCTCTAAGTCTTAAAATAGGATGTATTATTTCTGGGAAGACCATCTAGAGACAGCACCTCCCTCTTTGGTTATATGGATTCTTACTTCTCTGGTCACACAAAATGAAGTCTCCGAAATGGTCCCCACTCACTCTGGGCTCATCCCTTTTATCACCTATGGTCCTCTGTCTGGAGACTGCACTTCCTTTAATTGGCGCACTTCTCACCAGGTCACATTTCCTTTGGGGTCATGTGGGGACTTGCACGATATTACTCTGACAATTCTGAAAGAGCAAGTGTCCTCATGTGGCTCCAGTCCTGGATCATCCGGAAATCATATTCAATGTTTTGAGACAAGGCATTTAGGAAGTCAAGACCTAGACTAAGTGACAACCACACATTTGAGGGCAGGCTGAAAGTCTGAAATAGAGTAGGTGCTGAAGTTAGGTAAAATTGTCAATAACCATGATATAAGCCTAATTCTTTCATGGACTTTGCTGCAGCTAGGGATTCCATATTTTCTGTTAGTTTTTGGGAGGCCAAGCTCATGGATGTGGATGGTTTAAGTGGCCAAGGAGGTGGTGAAAAATAAGGTAGGAAATTTATAATTCTTTTGGAAGGTTCTAGGACTATTGGAGCAAGCCTCAAAGGCAGGAACGACACAGATGTACATTTGTGGGGTATGTACTTCTGGAATATGGACATCAGCCATTGTTCTCCCATCTAAAGCCCACTCTCACCTCCCAGGAGGCCCCGCATCCCACACTTGTATGGTCACCTGGATCTATCCAGTTCTCTTGTACACTGATAAGCCCTGTGGTGACTGGTCATTATTCTTCGATGGGGCAGCTTTGTTATATGTCTGCGTTCTGATGGCTTTGAAAGTCATTTGAGTCAAAACCAGAAGTTGGCCAGTATGTAGACCTAGCTATGTATACCTTTCAAACACACGTTTCCTTAAATTCGATGATTTCATGACTGTTTGCCTTCCGCGTGCATCATTTACAAGTTAACTTTTATCATTGGTCCCCATTGCCTATCCACAGTGCCAGCCTATTTTGCCCAGCTGTGGTTTTCTAGAGGGCGTCTTTACTCTTTCTGTCTTCTTCAATCAGCCTTACTAAACTTTCTGGTATTCTTGCTCTTTCTAGTGAGTTCCTCCTGCTAGCCCCATGTCTCTACTGTCTGGGATTCATCTCGTCATTTCCTGCCCTGGTTTTTCATGCAAGAAAAAGAATTCCTTCCCCGGATCCTCTTCTTGGGAAAAGGAGAAAAAAAACACCTTTGGCTAGTCAAAGGTTTGTGGTTTTTCATATGTTTTCTCCAATTCAAAGTATGTGAAATTGATCTATGTTTTTGCCATCTCTCTCAAAAACTATGCCAGTGTTCATACCTGCCCTTACTTGCAAACTAATGAAGTAAATCTCTTGAAGACAAAGACCATATCTCATTCATCTCTGCAGGCTCAGCATTTAGCACAGTGCCTGAATCAAAATGGGTACACAATACATGTTTATTGAATGAATGCATGAATGAATGAGTGAATATATAACTAGAGAAAGTGGATATGGGCATGAATTTCAAAATTCTGATTATAAGTTTTTTTGATCATTCAAAAGTGGTTGAATGATAACATAGCTGGGGTTTTTGACATTAATAGTTTCCTTGTCACCCATAATTAGAATATAATTCTTGTTGATAAATACAAAATATAGTTACAAATAATATTTGTAGAATAATATTAATAGCAATAATGTTTTTTTTTTTAATTTGGGAATAAGTCTGTTAAATAAACAGATCAATAAAATGGTCATATTTTAAGATTCTCCTAAGAATAAATATTGAAATGTTTTATAAATATGATTTAAAATTCTATGCCACTCCTAAAAGGCAAATATAAATGCTAGTGAAAATAAGCAAGAACATTAACTTGGTATAAGTGGACTTTTCTATGGAAAAATGCAAGTCCATTCATATGGTAATAGATTTCCCTGTGACCGGTGGGCTTCTATCCCTGCCAAAGAAACTCTGTAAATACATAGTCTTTGGAAAACTGAGAGAAATCAGTTATATAATAGTAAAGTAAAAGTTCAAGTTAATGACTATGTGCTAAGTCAAAGTTTTCAGAGAAGGCAAAAGTTAAGGCATTCCATGGGTTTTACTTTTAATTGTTTAAATCATAGTTTTCAGGTCTAGAGAGTCGACTTTGTATGACATGTATAATCAAGTACAACATATATTTTACTCAAAGATACCTAATACAGGTAAGAGCTTTGACAAGTAACATAAATTATATGTGGATTTCAGAACTAAGGGAGTTCTTTTCATCAGTGAAACAAATCATAGCATGCAAAAAAGGTTAGTAAGAATAGCTATAATTCAATTGTACCTTAAATGAGGGAAATCGAATTAAACCTGACAGAAAGTTTACAATAATCCCCAATGCTGAGTCAGAGAGAGAAAGCCAAAGAGCTTCATGGAATCTGCTGATTTCAGCTTTGCCAAGATTGTACTGATAAAACATCTGGTTTATGGCTAAAGCCAGGTGTGGTTGGCTGGGGCAGAAAGGGCGTGTCATGCTAGGGACGGGCCAACTATTTGTGCAATGAAAGAAAGCCATTGGCTATGGTGTAGGGGATTGCCTACCAGCAAAACACAAAATTCACTATCTTGGCAGCTATTGTTGATTTATAAGCTTTGATAATGTTAAAGTGATCTGCAGGTAAATTAATTTTTAAATAGCTGAATAATTTCAATAATGCAACAGTAAAATAGCTTTAGTGTATTTCAAAACTAAATGCTACTCAATAGAGACAAACCAAAAGACGGAAGACAAAATCATCTCAGAGTCTGGAAAATAGTGTCAGCAACGAATCACGTGCTTAGCAACATACAGATTATCGTTTGCTTTTTGTGGTTTATAGACATCATATTGACCTTTGGCATCTGGAGAGATAGGGAGGAAGGGAGAAAAATACCATCTGTTTACCACCTGCCAGGTTACTGTCAGGGGCTCAGGACTGTGTAAGCTCCACGATGTCAGACACCTGGCATGTTTTAGTTACTGTGCTATCTCCATTGATCAGATCCGTGCTGCTGTACACACATCACACATGTATGGGGTTTACCCTGCTGTCTGAAAGTCCAGTGTGCCCATGAAACCTTTTGTAAGCCAAAATGGCATCAAGTGAAGGAGCAATTACCATTAATTTATATGTAGAAACTTGTGAGCATTCCCAGACCCCCAATATTACCTCTCATAGACTTTTCTGATACCATAGGACACATCTTGCTAATAGATACACAAAATAAATCGAGGGAAATCTCATAGACACAGCTCAAAACTCTGGCAGCCTGAAGCTGAGATGCTGAACGGGGTTCCGGGGAGGCAGGTTGGGGTGGGGGGCCGCTCTTGCAGCCTGGGGCGCGTGCTGTGTCTGTCATGGCACCCTGCAAAACACATGCAGAGTGCTGTTGTGGTTTTTTGCCTTTTTTTGTGAAAACAACAACCCTCTTTATTTCTTTCAGTTATTAAAAACAGGAACTAACGTAGGTCTTTCTCAAAAGCGAAGTGGCAAAACATGACCTTTCGAAAACTGGATGATAGCTGGAATTCACCAACAGATAGAACAGATGTCTGTCTGTTGGGCTGCCTCTTTTGCTCTTGGTTAGTCCCATGCCAGTGCAGAGAGCTCCAGCCAAGCAGAATCGAATGGCTCTTCTTTTAGCCAGTGGACCATAATTTCCTATAAACTCGCTATTTAAGTCTATACTAAGATTCATGGAAAATGTTGTTACAGATCATCCTCTTAAAGTTGGCATTGCACAATCCCTTTCTGAAATCCTAGAATGGCTCCTGTGTCTATTTCTATCTGCAGATATATATGGGACAACGAAATACATCATTAAATTGTGCCCTTTTTGTTATCATTGTGACTATGATGTTAGATCACACCTTACTATTATTTAGATTATAAAATGGAAAGCACTTCGTCACCATCTTTATGAG